GGCTGAAACTCTCGGGTCAGGAACTCCACGTCGCCCTGGCGCGGCTCCAGAAAGGGTCTCGAGGATTTCGTGACCACGTTGGGGCCGCGTTGAGACCCTAACTGCATGGGCCTAGCGCGACTTCCGCAAAATCCTTGAAGATTCCGTGCCCACGTTCGGTCCATGATGAAAACCTCGCGGCAGGGGCTCAACGCGGCTCCCGCATAGTCTTCGAGGGCTCCATGCCAATATTGGGCCCGTGCTGAGACCTCCAAGTCACGGGCTCAACGCGACCCCTGCGTCGTCCGCGAAGTGTTCGAGCCAGGTGTTGAGCCCGCGCTGAAACCCTCAGGTGAAGGGTTTAACGTGACCCCCGCAAAGCCATGGATAATTTCGTGCTGCTGTTGGGCCGCGTTGAAACTCCGGGGTCGAGCCCGTGCTGGGCCCCGGGCGTCAGGGGCTCAATGGTCCTCGAGGACTTCTTGCTGATGTTGGATCCATGTTGGGCCTCTCAGGTCAGGGGCTCGACGTGTGGCCCTCGAGGATCTCGCGCCCATGTTGAGCCCGCGCCGAGGCGTCACTCCCGCGTGGTCCTCGAAGAGTTCGTGCCCGTATCGAGCTCCGTTCGACTTTGGATGTTATTATATTCAAGGAGGCGCCGGATGGAAGCTCGACGCGCGCTCTCCACGGTGGCCAAAGCGTGCGTGACATCCGGGCCCGAGCCAAAATTGTACTGCGGGCAACCCGGCCGGCCTCGATTCAGTCAGGGCGGTGGGCCGCGTGGCCAGCTGCGAGAGGCCCTCGGGGGGGCGCGGCGCGGCCCCCGCATAATCCGGGAGAGTTGCGCGCCAATGTGGGGCCCATGTTGAGACCCGCTGGTCAGGGGCTCAACGCGACTGCCGCGTAGTCCTCGAGGATTTCGCGCCGGGGTTGAGCCCGCGTTGAGACCCTCAGGTCAGGAACTCAACATGACCCCCGTGAAGTTATCAAAGATTTCGCGCCCATTTTGAATCCATGTTGAGCCTCCCACGTCGCAAGCTCAACATCCCTTCGGGATATGGTGCCCGTTTTGGGTTCAGGTTGAGCCTCCCAAGTCAGGGGCTCAACGTGGCTCCCGCAGTGTTCGGGAACATTGTGCCTATGTTGACCCCATGTTGAGCCTCTCAGGTCAAGGGTTCAATGGTGCCCAGGCGCTACCCCTGCAGAGTCCTCGAAGATTTCGTGCCCATGCTGAGCCCCGTCCGACTTTGGGTGCGATAAATCTGGTTCCGATCGGAGGATCAACGTGCGCCCTCCGCAGTAGCCCAGGCGCACGTGACACCCAAGCCCAAGCCGGCATTGCAGCCCAGCCCCGCACCCACAAACGGCCCAATCTTCAAACGTCGGGCAATCCGGCTGGCCTCGATCCGGCCATGGTGGCGGGCCACATGGCCAGCGGCGGGCGGCCCTTGGGGCCGTCGGCGGCTTGAGCTAAAGCACTTTCGGACGCGATCGACAACGACTGGGGCTGCTGATTTCGACGCGGGTAGGATGCCTGCGTCGAGAATTCCCAATCGAAATGTGAATTTGTAAAGGAAAGCGGCTGTACTACTACTACTACTACTACTACTACTACTACTACTACGACGACTACTACTATTACTACTGCTGCTAATAGCTACTACTACTACTACTACTACTACTACTACTACTACTACTACGACTACGACTACTACTACTACTACTACTACTACTACTACTACTATTACGACTACCCTTCTATTACTACGACTACTAGTAAAGCTGCTGCTACTACTACTACTACTACTACTACTACTACTACTACTGCTACTAGTGCTACTACTACGATTTGTCCTACTACTATGATGACAACGACGACGAGGACTACTACTACTACGACTTCTGCAACTACTACTACAAGTACTATTAGTACTACTGCTGCTACTTCTCGTACTTCCAGCACTACTAGTATTCCTTGTACCAATCCTAGTAGTAGTACTACTATTTTGACTACTACTTCTAGTCACCACCACTACCCCTACTCCGACTACTGCGAGTGCTACCACTACTACTACTCCACTACTACCACGACAACAACTACGACCACTACTACTACCACGACAACAAGAACTACTACTAGTACAAATACTATTACTACTACTACTACTACTTCTGGTACTACTACAACTACTACTACTACTACTACTACTACTACTACTACACCTACACCTACTACTACTACTACTACTATTACTGAGGCTTCTGCTACCACTACTACTGCGACAACGAATAGTACGACTACTACCACTACCACTACTACCACTACTACTACTACTACTACCACTACTACTACTACTACTACTACTACTACTACTACTACTACGACTACTACGACTACTACTACTACTACTACTACTACTACTACTACTACTACTACTCCTACTACTGCTACCACTACTACTGCTACGACTACTGCTACCACCAAAACTACTACTATGACTACTAGTAAAAATCTTACTAA